CGCAGGTTATCGTGCTCTGGACGTAGGGAAGTGCAACCTCCGAGAGCACGAGTGAAGATCCCCCTCCCTTCAGTCTTGTCAACTCGGGGTCGTCCCGCTGAGCTGCGGCCATAGCTTCGAAGTCCAGGACTTCTGTGCTGGAAGCATTGACGCGAGACAAGGCGTCAGCTGCTTCGTTTTCGACCCCGGGAACGTGGCGGATGTCTGTAGAAAACTCGGAGATGAATGAGAGCTGACGGATCTCTCGTTCTGAGTAGGAGGAACTGTTGTTTTTGAATACGTAGGTGAGGGGCTTGTGGTCTGTCAAGATGTAGAACTCACGGCCTTCGAGGAAGTAGCGGAAATGCTTAATGGAACAATATATTGCGAGCATCTCCCTTCCAAAAGTGCTGTACCGTGCTTCTGCAGGCTTCAGACGTTTCGAAAAGAAGCCCAGTGGCTTCCACTGGGCGCCCTCCTGTTGCTGCAGCACTGCTCCGACCGATGTGGAGGAAGCGTCCACCATGAGGCGTGTAGGAGCTTCAGGCCGTGGATGAATGAGAAGGGTAGCCGCGGCTAGCTCGTCCTTAGCTTTCTGGAAAGCGTTCTGGTGTTCGTCAGACCAACAAAATTCTGGTGCCTTTTGGTCGTCTCGGCGCAGCAGGTCGGTCAATGGCTGGAGCACTCGAGCACAAGACGGAATGAAGCGCCGGTGGAAGTTTAAGAGCCCGAGGAACTCCCTCAGCTTGCGAAAAGATGTTGGAGCTGGAAACTTCTTGACGGATTCCACCCTCGATTCCAATGGCATAATGCCTTCAGCAGTGATGTGGTGGCCGAGGAAGTTGAGCGCCTCTACTCCAAACACGCACTTTTGAGGTTTCAACACCAGACCGTGCTCATCCAAACGCTGAAAGAGCTGGCGGAGGTGCTCTTCGTGCTCCGCAGGCGTTCTGCTGGCCACCAAAATGTCATCCAGGTAGACAAAGATGAAAGGAAGACCCCGGGTGACCTCATCCATGAACCTTTGAAAGGTCTGTGCGGCATTTTTCAAGCCGTAGGGCATGCGGACAAACTCAAACAGGCCGAACGGAGTTGTTATGGCTGTTTTTGGTATGTCCTGCGGTTCGACGGGGATTTGGTGGTATGCCGCTACAAGGTCGATCTTGCTGTATATTTTCGTACCTGCCAGCCGCGCGCTGAAATCGTGAATGTGTGGCAGAGGATACTGGTCCGGCGTTGTCGATGCGTTCAAGGCTCTGTAATCACCACACGGGCGCCAATCGTCGTCCTTAGGCACCATGTGTAGCGGCGATGAATGGTTGCTAGACGAAGGGCGAACAATTCCCAGCTGCAGCATATGCTCGAACTCCCTGCGTGCAGCTTGAAGCCTTTTGCTGGACAGCCGTCGTGGCCGGGCGGTGACTGGCGGCCCGGTGGTGACGATGTGGTGAGTCACGTTATGTTTCACCGGCTGTTCCGTGTTGCCGGGGCTTGGTGAGCGAGGGGAATTCGGCCAGGACGTGGTGGTAGGCTGATACTGGCTGGAAGGCGCAGATGCCAGATGAGCAGATGTTTGACTCCAAACCACGTACTTTGAGGGATGTGTTGTTATCCTTGAGGCAACGGTCACGTACGCTCACATCCAGGTTGAAGTGGCTGAGAAAATCTGCTCCGAGTATGGCGAAATTAACATCCGCCACCACGAAGACCCAGCGAAACAGGCGCCTGAGTCCGACGTCTATTGTCAGCGAGCGGAAGCCGTACGTAGCGATGGCAGTGTTGTTCACTGCCTGCAGCGACGATGTGTTCTTGCTACGTCGGCGATCCTCGGGGGTTGCCGGGACAATAGAGATTTCGGCTCCCGTGTCGACTAGCAGGCGCGAGTTGCTTACGCGGTCGACTACGAAAAACAGGCGGCTGGGTGGAGGGCCGATGTCGTAAGCCGCCGTTAACGACTGGCCGGAGCGTTTCCCGGAAACGAGCAAGGTTGAGTGCAGCGGCTAGCACCCGTGCCGAAACGACGGTGGTACCAGCAAACTCCGTCCTGTGTATCTCGTGCATGGCTTCTCTGGGAAGAGCTTGGGTGTCTTGAAGGAGATCGGTTGCGTCGTTGCTCGTCCTGTTGGGGAGCGCCAGATAGCACAAGTTTCTGCATGGTCTCGGTAAGGTGTTGCAGTTTCTCCTCAAGGCGCGACAGTCGATCTGGTTGCTCATGTGTTCTTGCAGCAGCTATGGGCGCAAAGGTTGGAGTTGAGTATTCCGTGATGCGATCGGCAAGTTGCGCTAGTCGATCAAGGGACGTCTCATTTGAACCCGCGAGAACCACGCGCACCGACTGGGGGAGCCGTTGCAGGAAAAGTTCACGAAGAAGTGGGAGCTGGCCGTCCTGACGCGCGTGCACACCGAGTAGTTGCCGCATACGGTGCAGCAGTTGGGAAGGTCGTTGGTCGCCCAGCTCTTCGCGACACAAGAGCTGCTGCAGTCTGCTTTCTTCAGGCGCCTCGAGGCGGTCCAGCACCGTCTTTTTGAGGGTGTCATATTCTTCTTGCGCGGGGGGTGAAACCAAAATGTCGTCGATAGCGTCGGCGATTTCGGGGGGCAGGGCTGCGACGACGTGAAGGTATTTTGTCGACTGCGAGGTGATGTGCCGGAGTTGAAAACGGGCCTCCACTTGGCTGAACCAAACTCTTGGATTTTTCGGCCAAAAATTTGGTAGCTTCAGTTCTGTGGCGATGACCGCAGGCGTGGAGGCAGCAGCGTTGTCGTCGGAGCTCATCGCGGCGTGTTCGTTGAAGCGTTCGGGTCACCAATTTTGTAGCGGCCGGAAATGTCGGCTGCCGGAGGCAGCGAGAAAGGAGACGTGAAGCAGGTTTGGAGTTGCAGGGCAAGACTGTTTATTTCCACTCCGTGCGAGTGACGGGAGCTCCCCTCGACGAGGGAGAGAATGAGGCACCCCCGCGTTCTTCTACAAGAAAGAGGAAAAGGGGGGCCACCGAGCGAGCAGACGTAGCATGCAGCCGGTCTAATCCCCAGAGCCGGCCCCGACAACACGTTGTTCCCCGAACACGGAGGAGGAGGAGCTGGCGCCGCGAGTAGGCGTGCTGTCGACGGCCGGCTGCAGACGGGATAGAAAAGAATGCGGTGGTGCTTAGCAGCTTCCGCTACACCCTAATAGCCCATTTGCCATTCAATAATAACGTATCTATCTATGACTTCGAGTAGTTGAGTGTTGTAAAAAAAAATAGCTTGAAAAATCAACCAGTAAAATTACTCATGCACTGTCAAACGGGTGTTGAACGACATAAAGACTACTCTAGAGACATTGTTAAAAAAGTAATATTACCAATCGTTGAGAGTTGCGCATATTTTTGCTGTGCAAAGTGGTTTCTTTCCGGTTTCGTGTTGTATAGCAGTAATACTTCTTTATTTCGAATAAAGTATTATGAAGACATGGGAAATTCTTTAGGTTCTGCTTATTTCGGGATTTTTGAGAATTAATTGTTTGCTTATTAGCTCACAACTCTGTTCCGAATTTTACGTTCCGAAAACTGCAAGTTGTTCTACTTTGATACGTAATGCGCGTACTCCAGAGTATTTAAAACTATGGGAGCGGTAGCCGTGAGTGTGCCGATTGTAGGAAGAATAAAACGATGATGGCTATGGGTGCTCTCGCGGCACGCCGCAGCCGCTGACAGTGGGCAGTTGCAGCCGAGGCTTAGACGAATTAACACGGTTCCTGGTCTGACCCTACGCTGGGCGCCACGTGTAGGCTCAGGACTAAGGGTCGGCTGAAGCCCTCAGAAAGCAGACAGAGGCAACGTAAGAAAAATGACCTTTACTGACCGCAGGTCCAAGCTCGACTGCCAGGCGGCCGTTTTCCCGTTCACATGTGAGCTCGTGCGCTCGAGCACCAAAATTCATGGTGGTACCCACAAAACCTACTACTATATCTGATGATGATACTTCATGTCGAGGTAGCTACGTACCGCTACCTGCAGAAGTTCGTCCGCTGCTGCATCTATTTACAACGACAGAAACCATCGCGTGCACCCGTCACCAGCAGGCCTTGCCTTAACCGTTTGCTAGGCTACTTGGGCATAGGTTTGTATGAACCATCTCCTCTGATATTGGCGGGTAACCACTGAGCCATCGTCGCTGTTGATCATCTCGCGTGATACGCTAAACCCACGTCCTTCAAGCGTCTACAGCACGTGGTGTTGCCTCTTTCCCTGCTCCTGCGATTGCTAATGTGTCATAGTCCACCCCAACAACTTCTCAGTGATGGAGGTCGTGTCTTCTTGTTGGAAGTAATCCTCTTAGGCTGATTTGTGACAGTTTGCTGCTCGAGCTTGTAGTCCATGCTCTGTCACCGAGTGTCGATCGCCGAGTAAAATAAACACTCTTGCAGTCCATTTTTATCGTGTTGCCATGTAGAAGAGGTCCTAACTCAGTATCAGAATCCGGGACTGCATTTTATACGTGGTGATGTATTAACATAATTTGAGTACAATAGAAAAATTTCTTAATCATTCTGGAGGAAAATTACAATATCTTTAACTCTATTTTGAAGAAGCGTTTTTCTAAACAATTAGAAAAGCTGTCAACGTTCTTTCAACCCTGAATAGTCATTCTATAGGTTTAAGTAACGTACATGATAACCATCGCATTTAAACTGCATTCTTCACAAAATCGTTGTACATATGAAATACTATTCCAGTTGATCCCGCGATTTAGCTGTGGGATTCAGGTATACTTGGCTATATTGTTTATGGAGTACATCATGTTTCGTGAGCGATATATTATTTTTGAGGAATTCACCAATGTGGGAATAAGGACTTGACCACTGCATCTCTTATAGTTAATTCAATACAATGGGTGGTATCGCATGAGGTATCTTTCTGCTATAAACGATTGTATGTCAGAAAGTGGTCATTTACTAATATTCAGCTATTCTAAACATTAGTATTGGTTTAACAACGAAGATGCTCTACCGTCTTATTCCATTTTTTTTCATTTTTCAGTGTGGGCATTTAAATCATGGCTGAACACGAAGCATGCCAAGATTCAACAGGGCTGATCCTCCATCATCTATGGTGACAACTTGAAAGTGACTGAAGCATCAAAACCACTGAGTGAGATGTTGCCACATACGGATGCAAAGACGAAGCAGCGGAGTGGAATAAGTCCTGTTTCAATTATAATGTGATATTTTGTCCAAGTTCCTGTCGTTGCTTAAAGCAGGGTCATGGAAACTTATGTGACAAGCCACCGAAGATGCAAGAGGGTGATGTGTGTGCCAAGAAAGGATTGATGCAATGAAGCAATAATTAGGAAATTACCGAGTGGGTCAGAAGACAGGACATTGTAGGCAGGACGTTCACCATGTGTGAATGCGTGTGAGCAAAGAACTGTAAATAATTGTGTGAGTGTCTATGTAAATGTGCACCCACCAACTCAAGTAGAACTTCTTTTCTTATATGTTAAAACTGTGATGTGCATGATGGCTGACAGTGTTAGTATCTGAGACGGTCGTCACTCAACTGCCACACCCCAGCATATCAACGGACTGAACGGTGTGTGTGTGTGTATTTTTTGTGATAATTCGCGAATTGTAAATTCGAGTGAAAAGCCCTAACATAACTCAGTGGTATATTAGGAAAACAAGGTGTGATCTGTTTACCAGGATGCCAGGATAACAGTTTGGAGTTGTGCCTCACTTTTGAAGGCCTGATATTCAAGCCTCAGTTATTTTTCCGTGCTTTAACTTGAACATTCTAAAGTTTGCTATACTTTACTTTGACCCATCTTTTCAGATCATTGAAAAAAGCTATAAAGTACTGTTGTGGTGGAGAATAGTTGTTGGCTTTAGTGGTCGTTGGTCAGCAGCTTGTAACAGTGAAATATTTTTTAGGCATGCTCAGTGAGCCATGAAGCTCATAATTTATTGTTCAATACTTAGAAGATCTTTAGTACTTGCAGGAAAAAATACTATGCAAGTACAAAGCGAAAAAAGTTTTCAGAAATAAAACTGATTGTCGTATGAAACTGAAGTAATTGTGTGTGTGTCTTTTGAGAATAAAAAATAGTCCCTACACGATGCCTATAACCCTAGTGCAGGTAATGTTTCCATAAAAGAAGGAAATTGGTAATGAGAGAGATAAAAATAAGAAGCCTATACTGCGGGAATAGTTCGACATCGCATACAGCTAAACATTTTCTGTGCGAAACAAGTATTTAGAAAATAAGATAAAAGTTGAGTGTTCTGTATAAACACTGCGAAACACACACCTAGTTAAATTATGCGAAATTTAGCTTTCACCTCGCCCAACCTGATGTGCATGTTTTTAAGCCATAAGTACTTCTAAGGCAAAGTACAAAACTCGCATAGCTCCCAGTTTAGTATGTGCATCTCGGCAATTGTTGTCATGTCTGCATTGTTGTGTACCCGCAAAGCCCGCGGCTAAAGGTTGTTATGTATTGATGTGGCACTTACTGAACAGTGGTAAATAAAATCTGCTTGAGTGTGGGTCAGACTTCGATGCTAGCAATAACTGGTGAAGGAGGACCATGTGTTAATAACAAGTTGAGCCAACAATTTCAGAAAATTCAATTGATAATCTGCAAAGCTTAATTTTAATACAGCCATCAACTTATAGTGGTAATTTAGAGTGCATAAACAGACAAGAAACAAGAGACAGAGTTATACAGACCAGCCGTCGCCTGTATAACTGTCTGTCGTTTCTTGTCTGTTTACGCACTCTAAATTGCCACTATGTTCAAGTACAAACTCACCCGAATTTCGGTGCTTTTACACGTTAAACTATCACCGCCAGGTAATTTGTGTCACATCAAACTCGCAATACCCACGAGGGTGGCGCGCTGTACCATGGGAGACGGCACCTGGAGGACGGTAATCCAGTTTGCCAGCATAGCCTGATCTTCAAGTGCGGACGTATGGTTCGTGCCACTTTCCCAGGAAAGTCATGAGCTGCACTGAAGCGTATATCAGAGCAAGATACTTTTTACAACCATAAAAGCTCGCCACCTGATTCTCTGCCGTGAAGTAAAATGTTATATTTCTATTCAGTTGTCATGCATGAATGATGTTTTGCGAAATACTCTGTGTGCTACAGAAGACTGTGTGAAGCAGAATTTATGTGTGACCTGAACGACACTCCGAGGTCATATGTACCGAGCCTGCCTGACGACCTTGTCGCGGTAGTAGACCGCTAGCTAGTAGCCTCAACACTGCTGCACGGGACCGAATGTTGAACGTGGTGATAGTTTGGAAACATATTACGCCGTCAGCATTTCTTGCCCGGTCCGGAACATGGAGTTGCTTCTACAACAGAACACAAACACTTAACATCTCATTAGGTACCGCTAGTATCACAGCCATGCTCAGACTCTTCACTACAATCCGATGGCCATTCACTACAATCGGATGTCGCAGATTGGATCAGCACTAAAGAGATATGAATATCGGAAATACCCACGTATGCTTTTTGCAACTTCATAATTGTGAAAATTCGTCAAACAACAACGCCATTAGGAAGGTACTGGTCGTAGAAGAAAACTAAGCAGAAATTTATGGATTGTGGCCGTAACTGCTCGTTTCATCGCTCTAACCATTTTGCTTTGCTGGTCGAGCTTGAGCGTGTTGGCGGAACGTGGCGCTTCCTAACATCCACAGTAATTGCGCTACATGCAATTAGCAAAAAATACTATGCGCTCATTTTTACTTTGCTGAAGGGTATGATAGATCAAATATGTTCAAAGGGACTTGTCGGCGTGGAAAATCATTAACGCACGAGGGGACGTGTAGTGCTAGTCACTATTCGCGAGTTAGCAGCTGATCGTTTAGTGATTTCACAACCTTCTTCATACAGTCAGAAATCCTCATCGTCAAGACGTTTTTTTTTTCTCTCTCAACATTACTGTTGAAAGCGATCTGAGAAACTCCCTCCACTGAACAAATTCGAAAGCACCAATAACCCAGCATTACCGCATTTATCCAAGTGCGGAGAAAATTTAAAGAATTTCGCTCTGAAACCCGTCAACAAGCAAATCGCCTGCTATGTGCTGCCATCTGTCAACAAGCGTACAAAACCAAACAGCGGAGCACTGGCCAATTAGATTGATTGATTGATTGATTTGTTGGGTTTAACGTCCCAAAACCACCATATGATTATGAGGGATGCCGTAGTGGAGGGCTCCGGAAATTTTGACCACCTGGGGTTCTTTAACGTGCACCCAAATCTGACTGGCCAATTTGAGGTTGGTCAGTTATAGAAGAGTAAATCATGCACACACGCGACTCTCCGCGTACAATGTTACGGGATACATCCACCACAAAAACACTGACGAGTGCTATATGCAAGTAAAACAAGACGAGTTTCAACCAAAAAGGTCCGATGATGACATTTCACTAACCAACGTGGCAACTGAAAACCCCACGAAGCTTATATGTGTACTCTGCGTGCTATCATCGAACGCGCGAGTTATCGTGTATTTTCACGAAAACTTCACGTGTCGCAAAAACAAATCAGATATATCGTGTCTCGGAGAGCCCCGTTTGTTCACTGATGCAGGAAACGTGCAAACTGGTAGTGTTCGCTTCTTAATAGTTCTTGTGGTTTAACGTCCCGAAACCACCATATGATTATGACAGACGCTCTAGTGGAGGGCTGCGGAAATTTTGGCCACCAGGGATCTTTAACGTGCACCTTTAACGTGCAACACATGAGCCTCCAACATTTTCGCCTCCCTTTGATATGCGGCTGCCGCAGCCTGCCGGTCAGCAGCAGGGTGCTTTAGCGACTAGACCACCGTAGCGGGTGTTCGATTCTTGCTAACGCGTTAAAACTGAGGCTAGCAAAGCCAAACAAGGGAGCCTCTGCCTACTGATCACTCTTGAGAGAACGCTCCCAAACTCCGCTTCAAGGCCCGACAGTCTATGGACATTGCGAATGCGTACCTGGCAAAAAAAAAACGCGTTTTTTTTTCGTTTCCTCCATTCGAGAAAAAGCGCCTTCACAGATGGCCTCCAAAAGGACGAAAGTGGAAAAGTTCACTTCGAGACCACTCGCTTCACCACCTGAGCAGCGGGAAAACCACGCTGCCGAGTCTGACGCGAAAAAAAAAACAGTCTGTTAGCGCTTTTTCAGTCACGCGACAACCGAAGGCCTATTCGTTTCACGGGAAGCCATACTTTGGCTGCGCTAGCTTATAAACGATGAGATGTGAACAACCGACCTTGTCTTCAGCATGGCGGCCGAAGAGTCCGCGGTTCACTCTAAATAGTTTTGTGGAAAACTGCGCAGTTACCCCCGAAAAGGTGCTTTGCTCCTCCTGAAGACCGAATGCGCGCAAAAGATTGCCGTCGGCATGGCAAGGAGGGGAAGTTTCCTCCTTGCGGAGTAAAGCGCCCCCCCCCCCCTTTTTTTTTTTTTTGGAGTAACTGCAGGAATCTTCGCGCCGTGTGCAAACGACCCATCGGTGCCTACAGAAGCCTGTTTCCTTTCAGATGGTGACGTAGCGTGGTGAAGTGTAGTGATTCGTGTACGCGCAAGCGCGCGTTCGAATCCCGTATGTTTGCTGCGAATTTTCCGAAATTTATTCCTGAATGTGATGCTTGCCCATCGATTGTATATCTAATCAAATGCCAGCACGCACTTCGAAAGGCTGAATTTTTTTTCACCAACTCTTTCTTTTTTGAGGAGTAGCCGCGAGAGCGTGGTTACTCCTTCGCAGTTACTCCCAAAATAGTGCAATGGGTGTGGCAAGTTTGTTACTCCTCTAAAAAGGGCCACCTCGATACCTCTTTCCCTCATTTACTTCTGGTAGGTATGTGGGATTTAACGTCCCTCATTTACTTTTTAAAGTGTGGTTAGAATTACCGTAATCACAGACGACCAGTGTACCATGACGAAGCTCACGGTTTCTGGAAGGACGTCTTTCAAGAGCCTGTTTTGAATTGACATTGTCGAGGAGTGTGGAATTCGCAGAAGCCGCAGCTGCAGCGATTCAGCGTGCCCCAACGTGTATTGGTGGTGCACAGCCAGGTGAACTTGCGACCACCGCCACCGGTATAGCCGCTTCTCTATATTGTCACGGGGTCATGACGTGGCCGAAGACAGGAGACTTCGTGTTGTGATTTAACTGTTTATTTGGGCTAACCTGTGCCCGGTAAACGGAAAGTCCAATTACAGCAGCAGTCTCGCACAGATAGCAGTCTCGGACTGATAGCGGCGAAAGGAGCGTCGGCCTTCGATCAACAACTGACAAGCGGCGAAGCGTGTCGGCATTTATACTCCCGCCCTCGAATGTTCTAGC